AATTGCCCTCCCCTTCCCCACCGATCCACCTGCTGTCCAGGCCCCCTACAGGAATACCGGTGGTACCCCCCTGATGGTGGCCCTGCATGGGTCAGTCCACCCCTGCTCACCAGGTCCCTTCTTCTGAGGGGATGGCACCGCCCTCCTAAAAATTGCTTCCCTAGGCAAATGCCTTGTTTACCTTGTGGTAAATACACCGCTGTGATTCAGGGCTCAACAAATCCAAGGCGCCAGGTCGCCATGGAGACACAATGTCCTGAAATCGCAATATTCCGGTTTTGTGCAATTTGAGTACAGGTGTGATTATGCTGTCTCTCTCTCTCTCTATAACTGCCTCCCACTGACTTTAATGCAAAATTGTGTCCCATTGACTTCAATGTAAAATCGCCTCCCATTGACTCCAAGGCAAAATCACCTCCCATTGCCTTAAATGCAAAAATGGCCACCATTCACTTCAATACCAAAACTCCTGTCAATAGCAATCCTGTGTGAACACTTATCTCCGCATACCACTCTACTATATCATTTGTGAGTCTGGAACGCACTGCTACAAACTCGCACAGGACCATTTTCGTAATGGCACTCAAAACACAATGTGTGTGGATCACATCTGTGTGAACCACCTCAATAGGAACACACCTGGAAGTTTTGGAATCACGACAGAATCACTGTGATCGCAAAACGAAGGGCCAGGTGCCATTATTTTCAATGGCACCTAAAATGTGCGGTTTTACCATGATAGCCAAACAGCGAATCGCCTTTTATGAAGCTTCAGTGCATTACCCAGGCACTGAAAACCCACGCTATGCTAAAAAAAAAACAAAAAAAAAAAAAACCACACGGCACCTGACTTTTTCAGCTAGCTCCTAGATTCAAATCAATTTGTCAGGCCCTGGTATAATCTGACAGAATACAATGTCCCAGTGAGGGAATCCCTTCATCCACCTTATTTGTGTGAATGGTGGAATCCGTTTGCACTGATGCACCAGCAGATTGAAGCTGAGCCATACACTGATTTTTTTTTTTTTTTTTCGTTAAGCCACCCTCCATCTGCACAAAGGAGGTGGATGGAAGAATCTCCCCAAAACTTGTTACAATATACTCTGACAATGGCACCAACAGCTGTCAGAATAAACACACTGATCAGTGGCAGTGGCCACTTTCTCTGGACAGCTTGGTCTGTTAAAGGAAACTGAAGAATAAAAAAACAGAATTACTGGTCAGATCACCAGATAAAAATAAAAGAAAAAAATAAATCTAACAAAAAGAAAACTAATACAGCAACCACATCTAAGAACTGGAAAGCTGCAATATAATAAACTTTTATTTTTTGCTTTAATAGCACTTTAAAAAGTATACCTGTGTTCACACACCAAATCTAACACTGCCACATACCTTCCAGACAGGTACATATTCTCTTTCACCCCCGCAGTCTGGGGTGCATTACGGTATGATGGTAACATACTCTGACCTATAAAGCCATTCACAACGCCGCCCCAAACTACCTAACCGACCCGATACCCAAATACCACCCTACCCGTGCCCTTCGCTCCTCACAGGACCTCCTACTCTTTAGCTCCCTGGTCTCCTCCTCCCACGCCCGATTGCAGGATTTCTCCAGGACTTCCCCCATCCTCTGGAACTCCCTACCCCAATCCATCCAACTGTCACCTACCCTCCTCACCTTCAGGCGCACCCTGAAAACCCACCTCTTCAGGGAAGCCTACCCCACCCTCACCTAACAACTGACCTCCTCCACTTCTCCCACCACTCCATCCCCCACAGCCATTTCCTTCTGTACCACTTTCCCCTCCCTCCTAGATTGTAAGCTCGAAAGAGCAGGGCCCTCGAACCTCTCGTGTATTGTATTGTTTCTGTCTCGTCTCATGTTCTGTCCCCCTTGCTATTGTACAGTGCTGAGCAAACCCTTTGGCGTTTTATAAATACTGTATAATAATAATAATACTTACCAACTGAGAAAGAGGGGTACCTTTTTGTACAAAGTATATAAGCAAAAAACACACCCTACCCCGCCCCACAGGTATACAGGCCCTAAAACATTATTATACAAATAGGACTGATTAAACTGCTCACAGATTTTGCATAGATTGAATGTTATACAGTTGCAAGAAAAAGTATGTGAACCCCTTGGGATTACGTGGAGTTTTTCATGAATTGGGCATAAAATGTGCTCTGAATGTCATCTAAGTCACAACAATAAAAGAACACAGTCTGCTGAACATAATACTACACAAACATTAGATGTTGCCATGGTTTAATTGCACATCACATGTTAACATTCACAGTGCAGGGAGGAAAAAGTATGTGAGGCCCTAGCTTAATGACTTCTCCCAGAGCTAATTGGAGCCAGGAGTGAGCTAACCTTGACTCCAATCAGTGTGATGATATTGGATGTGTTGCTGACATCTGTCCTGCCCTTAAAAAGCACACACCTGTGTTGGGTTTACTGGTTTGAAGAAGCACTGTCTGATGTGAACCATGCCTCGCAGAAAAGAGCTCTCAGAAGACCTACTGTCAGGGCTCCCAGGTATGACCAGAGGTGTGTGACTGAAGCAGGGAAACGCAGACCTCAGATATGTTATAAACAATATAATTTATTAACACTAACAGTACAAACATAAACGCAGTGCAATACTAAAACATAATACGGTGCAAACAAACCAAACTACCCACAGATAACAGTATATACAAGCAAGCGTCGTCAGGCAGGCCGGGTCAATATCAATTGGGCAGGTAGGTACAGGGGGAGCAAGCGGAGAATGGTCGGGGTCACAGGCCAGGTTCAGCAGGTAGCAAGCAGCATAGTACAGAGGGTCAGGCAGAGGATGGTCCGGGTCACAAGCCAGGGATCAGAACAGGTAGCAAGCAGCGTAGTACAGAGGGTCAGACAGAGGGATGGTCAGGGTCACAAGCCAGGATCAGAGCAGGAGAAGTCAGCAAAGGAACAGAAACAGGATGCAGGACAGATACAGGGCCCCAGGACAAACACAACACCAAGGCAGAGTCTGCAAGTCTGGCCATCCCTTAAATACACCAGTATCATCAGTTCCAGGTGTTAGCTGGCTGAAAGGTTGAGTCTCTGATTGCTGGGAGCACCCGCTGGCCAGCCCTGGTACTGCAGATCAAAAGGCAGGTGAGTCCCACCATTGCTGGCCAGTCCATTCCTAACAGTACCCCCCCCCTCAAGGAGCGGCCTCAGGACGCTCCAAACAGTCCTAGCTGGGCAAAATGTTCCACCGCCCGGGTCTGGCAACTGGCGGGAAATCAAAGACTGGCACACCCGGGCAGGACTCCGGGCAGCGGCACACCGGGCTGGACTCCGGGCAGAGGCACATCGAGCAGAGGCACACCGGGCAGAGGCACACCGGGCAGGACTCCGGGCAGAGGCACATCGGGCAGAGGCACATCGGGCAGGACTCCGGGCAGGACTCCGGGCAGAGGCACATCGGGCAGGACTCCGGGCAGAGGCACATCGGGCAGGACTCCGGGCAGAGGCACATCGGGCAGGACTCCGGGCAGAGGCACATCGGGCAGGACTCCGGGCAGAGGCACATCGGATTACCAGGCGAAGCAGCAGGCACCGGGCCCCCGGGCGGATCAGCAGGCACCGGGCCCCCGGGCGGGGCGGGCGACAGGCACCGGGCCCCCAGGCGGGGCGACAGGCACCGGGCCCCAGGCGGGGCGACAGGCACCGGGCCCCCAGGCGGGGCGACAGGCACCGGGCCCCCAGGCGGGGCGACAGGCACCGGGCCCCCAGGAGGGGCGACAGGCACCGGGCCCCAGGCGGGGCGACAGGCACCGTACCCCCAGGAGGGGCGACAGGCACGGGGCCCCCAGGAGGGGCGACAGGCACCTGGGCCCCCCAGGAGGGGCGACAGGCATCGGGCCCCCAGGCGGGGCGACAGGCATATCGTGCCCCCAGGCGGGGCGACAGGCATCGTGCCCCAGGCGGAGCGGCGGGCGCCGGACACCCCAGGCGGAGCGACAGGTCTCGGGCCCTCAGGCGGAGCGGCGGGCGCCGGACCTCCAGATGGAGCGACAGGTCTCGGGCCCTCAGGCGGAGCGGCGGGCGCCGGACCCCCAGGTGGAGCGACAGGTCTCGGGCCCTCAGGCGGACCGGCGGGCGCCAGACCCCCAGGCGGAGCGACAGGTCTCGGGCCCTCAGGCGGAGCGGCAGGCGCCAGACCCCCAGGCGGAGCGACAGGTCTCGGGCCCTCAGGCGGAGCGGCGGGCGCCGGACCCCCAGGAGGAGCGACAGGTCTCGGGCCCCTCAGGCGGAGCGGCGGGCGCCGGACCCCAGGAGGAGCGACAGGTCTCGGGCCCTCAGGCGGAGCGGCGGGCGCCGGACCCCCAGGTGGAGCGACAGGTCTCGGGCCCTCAGGCGGAGCGGCAGGCGCCGGACCCCCAGGCGGAGCGACAGGTCTCGGGCCCTCAGGCGGAGCGGCGGGCGCCAGACCCCCAGGCGGAGCGACAGGTCTCGGGCCCTCAGGCGGAGCGGCGGGGCTGCCAGACCCCCAGGAGGAGCGACAGGTCTCGGGCCCTCAGGCGGAGCGGCGGGCCGCCGGACCCCCAGATGGAGCGACAGGTCTCGGGCCCTCAGGCGGAGCGGCGGGCGCCGGACCCCCAGGTGGAGCGACAGGTCTCGGGCCCTCAAGCGGAGCGGCGGGCGCCGGACCCCCAGGAGGAGCGACAGGTCTCGGGCCCTCAAGCGGAGCGACAGGTCTCAGGCCCCCAGGCGGGGCGGCGGGCGCCGGATCCCCAGGCGGAGCGGCGGGCGCTGGACCCCAAGCGGAGCAACAGGTCTCGGGCCCCAGGCGGAGCGGCGGGCACCGAGACACCAGGCACGACAGTGGGCTCCGAGTCAACTGGTATGACCGCAGGCACTGGGTCAGACATTGGATGGTCTGGCTGGACAGCGGGCATCGGGTCACCAGGCATCAGGTCATTTGGCTCGACAGCGGGCACCGCGTCATCTGGCAAGGCAGTGGGCTCCGAGTCAACTGGTATGACCGCGGGCACTGGGTCAGACATTGGATCGTCTGACCGGACAGCGGCATCGGTTCACCAGGCATCAAGTCATTTGGCTCGACAGCGAGCACCGCGTCATCTGGCAAGGCAGTGGGCTCCGAGTCAAACTGGCATGACCGCGGGCACCGGGGCAGACATTGAATCATCTGGCTGGACAGCGGGCATCGGGTCACCAGGCATCAGGTCATTTGACTCGACAGCGGGCACCGCGTCATCTGGCAAGGCAGTGGTCTCCGAGTCAACAGGCACGACAGTGGGCACCGGGTCATCAGGTACCGGATTGTCTGGCTCGACAGCGGGCATCGGGTCATCAGGTATGACAGCGGACACTAGGTCACCAGGCATCAGGTCATTTGGCTTGCCAGCGGGCACCGCGTCATCTGGCAAGGCAGTGGGCACCGAGTCACCAGGTACGACAGCGGGCTCTGAGTCAATTGGCACGACAGCGGGCACCGGATCAGGTACCGGATCATCTGGATCAACAGCGGGCATCGAGTCAACTGGCCTAATAGGATCGTCAGGCTGGATCAGTTCATCATGCTGGGTAGAGGCATTAGGCCGAGTAGAGGCTTCAGGCCGAGTAGAGGCATCAGGCCGAGTAGAGGCTTCAGGCTGAAGAGAGGCATCAGGCCGCGTAGAGGCTTCAGGCCGAATAGAGGCATCAGGCCGAGTACAGGCATCAGGCCGAGTACAGGCATCAGGCCGAGTACAGGCATCAGGCCGAGTACAGGCATCAGGCCGAGTAGAGGCTTCAGGCCGAGGAGAGGCTTCAGGCCGAGGAGAGGCTTCAGGCCGTGTAGAGGCTTCAGGCCGAGTAGAGGCTTCAGGCTGCGTACAGGCATCAGTCTGAACCACGGAAGGCAGGCTCACCGGTTTGGATACTGGCAGGATGGTATTGGTTGGAAAGAATTTTTCGCTTTTTTCTGGTTTTAACTACGGGAGCACTGCAAGTAAACGCAGGTCTGCAAACGAATGGAGCAGCTGGAGACAGAGAAGAACTGGAGGATGGAACAGGAGAGGGAGCAGTTGCTACAGAGGGCTTTTTTACAGGGTTAAAGGCAGGATAGGTGCAGCGAGTGGGAACAGGGTACTGACATGCGGTAGATAGCCAAGTATACTGGGCTGTAACTGGAGGAGCTGGTGGGAATACAGGAGTAGAGTTAGAAGCAGGACTGGGTCTTTGTAAGCTGACTGAGGCTGGGTGCAACAAATCTGTCCATGTCTGCAGTATGGGTTGAACAAAGCTGAGCTTACACAAAGCCTGTCTGGTCAATGACTGCACTGCGTTTATACAATCTCTCAGTGTCTGTGGGTGAACATGTGGAATAACGCTCCAGAAAGTAACCACATCATCCTCTAATAACCACACCAGGGACTCTACCTGGTCTGCACTAAATGGTGGCAAAAATTCATCCCTGCATTCGGGGGTACCAGATGAAACCAACTCTGCACAAACCTCAATCAATGGCTGCACCTCAGAGAACACTGTGCCCTGATCTACTAGAACATGAGCGAGCCGTATACATTCTAGCAATTCATCCCGGGTATACTCCTTCAGAGTTTGATAAGCATACTCCCTGTCATCAAACACTAGCAGATATAAATACTCAACCTCATCAAGATCCATCCTTCCCCATCAACAAGCCAAGATGGCTTCCCTGTGCAGCCACTTCTGGTCAGGATTGGCCTTGGTGTAATGTCAGGGCTCCCAGGTATGACCAGAGGTGTGTGACTGAAGCAGGGAAACGCAGACCTCAGATATGTTATAAACAATATAATTTATTAACACTAACAGTACAAACATAAACGCAGTGCAATACTAAAACATAATACGGTGCAAACAAACCAAACCACCCACAGATAACAGTATATACAAGCAAGCGTCGTCAGGCAGGCCGGGTCAATATCAATTGGGCAGGTAGGTACAGGGGGAGCAAGCGGAGAATGGTCGGGGTCACAGGCCAGGTTCAGCAGGTAGCAAGCAGCATAGTACAGAGGGTCAGGCAGAGGGGTGGGGGGGGGGGGGGATGGTCCGGGTCACAAGCCAGGGATCAGAACAGGTAGCAAGCAGCGTAGTACAGAGGGTCAGACAGAGGGATGGTCAGGGTCACAAGCCAGGATCAGAGCAGGAGAAGTCAGCAAAGGAACAGAAACAGGATGCAGGACAGATACAGGGCCCAGGACAAACACAACACCAAGGCAGAGTCTGCAAGTCTGGCCATCCCTTAAATACACCAGTATCATCAGTTCCAGGTGTTAGCTGGCTGAAAGGTTGAGTCTCTGATTGCTGGGAGCACCCGCTGGCCAGCCCTGGTACTGCAGATCAAAAGGCAGGTGAGTCCCACCATTGCTGGCCAGTCCATTCCTAACACCTACGATCAAGAATTGTTGACTTGCATGAAGCTGGAAAGGGTTACCAAAGTATCTCCAAAAGCCTTGATGTTCATGTGTCCACGGTAAGACAGGCTGTCTACAAATGGAGAAAGTTTAGCACTGTTGCTACTCTCCCTAGGCGTGGTCGTCCTGTAAAAAATGACTGCAAGAGCACAGTGCAGAATGCAGCATGAGGTAAAGAAGAATCCCAGAGTGTCAGCTAAAGACCTACAGAAATCTCTGGCACATGCTAACATTTTTGTTGACACATCTACAATAAGGAAAACATTAAACAAGAATGGAGTACATGGAGGGACACCACGGAGGAAGCCATTGCTGTCCAAAAAGAATATTGCAGCACGTTTGAAGTTTGCAAAAGAGCACCTGGATGTTCCACAGCACTACTGGCAAAATATACTGTGGACAGATGAAACCAAGATTGAGTTGTTTGGGAAGAACACACAACACTATGTGTGGGAGAAAAAAAGGCACAGCACAACAACATCAAAACCTCATCCCCACTGTAAAACATGGCGGAGGGAGCATCATGGTTTGGGGCTGCTTTGCTGCCTCAGAGCCTGGACGGATTGTTGTCATTGATGGGAAAATGAATTCCAGAGTTTATCAAGACATTTTGCAGGAAAACGTACGACCATCTGTCCACCAACTGAAGCTCCGCAGAGGATGGGTGATGCAACAGGACAATGACCCAAAGCATACAAGTAATTCAACAAAACAATGGCTGCAACAGCACAGAATACACCTTCTGGAGTGGCCCAGTCAGAGTCCTGACCTCAACCCGATTGAAATGCTGTGGCATGACCTTAAGAGAGTGATTCACACCAGACATCCCAAGAATATTGCTACACTGAAACTGTTTTGTGAAGAGGAGTGGTCCAAAATTACTCCAGATCGTTGTGCGGGTCTGATCTGCAACAACAGGAAACGTTTGGTTGAGGTTATCGCTGCCAAAGGAGGGTCAACCAGTTATTAAGTCCAAAGGTTCACATACTTTTTCCTCCCTGCACTGTGAATGTTTATATGTTATGTGCAATTAAACCATGGCAACATCTAATGTTTGTGTAGTATTATGTTCAGCAGACTGTGCTCTTCTATTGTTGTGACTTAGATGATGTTCAGAGCACATTTTATGCCCAATTCATGCAAAACTCCACGTAATCCCAAGGGGTTCACATACTTTTTCTTGCAACTGTATTTTATAATAAAATATACCAACACCTAAGCAGCAATAAGGGCCTACTGGATTATATATACATTGCATGTACATTTAGGAAAGCCCTTTCACTGCAGATTTATTAAATCTTGCGGAGCTTGTATCATATTTAAAGAGGACCTGAATGCTATGAGTGAAGATTTGCTATGTTATAGGGACCATCGAGAAAAAATGTTAATTGTGCCTAATCTGTTCCCTGAAAATGTAGATTTTGATTCCTCCTGAAAAATAGCAGTGCATCTGGTATGTGGGAACATCTGTTGGGTCTTGCCTCTCCCTAACACTAGGTTCACACATAAGTGGTTTCCGCAGCGTTTTGCAGGTTCACATCTCCGCATTTTCACCCGGTGCGTTTTTTGGAAAAGGTCAGGGACTTTTTTGAACGCAAAAAGTTGTGTTTTTGTTTTCTATAGCCTTCAATGGTAACGCTGCAGAAAAGCATGTAGTGCATTTTTGATGCATTTTTGGCACATTTTAAATCTGCCTAGCAACAAGAAAAAAAATGCAAAACGCATAAAAAACACGTGCAAAAATGCAACGCAAAACATACTGCAGAAATGGATCAAATGCAAACTGCATAGGTGTGAACCTAGCCTATAGCAATGTGTCTTACTACAGTGATGGTAACTTTTTTTTTTACCGGAAAACCCCAAAACCAAGAACCTAATATATTGCAGCTTACCAATCAGAGGTGGTGACTGCATTAGCTTTTAGGCTTTTTTTCTCTGTTTTCACCTGTTGATCCAGCCAGTAACACACCTCCTGTATTAGAGTGCCCTCATTTTGGATGAAAGAGCACAGGGGCACCTTTGGACAGCAACATAGTTAATCTGAAGGGAGGAGAGTGTTTAGATGTACTAGCATATTTAGATACACTAACAAATTGAAGCCAAACTCCAGCTCACAGTGCAGCTACATCTACAGATACAGCAACTTTTTTTTTTCTTATGGGATAAAATTCTTGCATAAATAAATAAAAGCTGTTAATTGCAAGCACTCCTGTCAGTAGTAAATGGTTTGTCTCCCCACTCTAAACTGCTACATCTGCAGGAAAGCGTGTTCTGTTGAAAACAATAAAATTATTTAATGGAAAGAAAGCCAAAAAAATAAAACTAATGCGGCAATCACATCTAAGAATTGGTAATCTGAAACATGATAAAAGTTTGATTTTGGGTTTAATACCACTTTAAAGCTCAGCTCTATAAAAATAAAAAATCCACTCTTACAGTGGGCCCCCCAGCACTGTGAAGGTTAGTTAATCATTATTTCTAAGGGTTTGCAGAACAGGCTCTATCCCTAAGGTAAGATACTTACCTTATACTCGCTCCATCTCCAGTCTGTAGGTGGAACCTCAGTGTCATCACATACAATGCAGGGACATTAATCTTGTATTATACACTTTGGAGACTGAAGCATGACCAGAGCTGGTCGCAGCTTACAGAGGAGCTACAAGGGGGCTAGTAACATTGCTGGAGGGACCCTGCTGCAGCACGAAACAAGGTATTTTCTCCCTAATCCTTTGCCCCTAAACATACCAAGCAATTAACCCTTGCAGTGCAGGGGGGGGCCTACTTCAAGGGGGGATTTTTCTTTTTAATTTTTATGGAGTTGGACTTTATGTCTGGTACTTGAGCTAGAATGGTATACAAGCGCCTCTACAGCTCCCTCAGCAGGTGTTAACAATAATTACAGTTTGACAGCCTTGTCAGCCCTTGAAGTAAAAAAAAAAAGGATCTGGGACTCCCTAAAGCCATACTGCTGCACATAATATAAAAAGGTGTACTATCCTTTTAAGGGTCATACCA